TTACAAATATAATAAGTTAGGAAATATTTCAAACTGTTAGACTATAAAGTTGAGATATTTCTACTTTATAACTTAATTGACAAAGCTTCATAGATTGGATTATTATTCTGTTAAATACTTCATCAACAGAACTTCTTCCACTGCTCTTTTGTTAAAGTTTATTAAAACGTAAATGGTTGTGTAATAATAATTTTTCACTAGCTTAAAATAACAGAAAGGGAAATAACAAGCACACGTTGTTTATTCTTCCTTCTGACTGTAACTGCTACATCAACGTGCTGCTCAATCTTCCATACGCTCATGATTCAATCGAGTTATATATGCTGGGACATATATACTCTTTTAGGTCCTACCTCACCAAACACGTAGTTTGGAGAGTTGTACTGTCAACTGTATAAGTGTTTCGACGGTAAGGTAACCAACATCTACAGTAATTCTGCTTTTCAACAACAGATAAATTAGTTGAATAAAAGACAATGCTTAAAGATAGCATAACTCAACTTGTAACACGATAAGGATATGAAATTACAGAGCCTTCTAATATAAAACTGCTCGAAGAAATGCCATAGTTGATCAGCTTTAAGCAGTTGTCCTTCGAGTACTGAGACCAATCTTTCAAGTCATCAATACCACTCCTTATCAGGTTTCCTTTTCTAATTCTCTCAAGAAAAACTATTTTCTCTTACGATTTGAGCAATCTGGTAGTGAGATTCATTCATCATTATCGAATTCATTCATATTTATATTACCGACAAACTGTTATTCAAAATAATTGATACTAAATCGTACAGTAGATTTGATTTTAGTTAACTGACCTAATTTCTTATTATCAAAATAACATATATAAATATGATATCTATAGATAATTATAAAATCTATATGTAGTCACGGTTACAATACAAGTTGAAATGAGTCGACATAGGAACATATGAAAACAACATATAGATCTGCTTATTTTAATGAGGCTTATTATTCACTTATGTCTAGTAATCAATCAGTATCATTTACTAAGTGTAATTCTCTCAAAACACAAGGTTTATCGAACAAAAATTAAATAAAAAGTAGAAATCAACTTTGCACCTGATCACCACTTAGCATACAATCACTATGTTAGATACATGTGATAATAAATATTAAAAATATGTAATAGAATTATTATTTTTTTGAATTTAAATTTGGCGAACCTTTAACACAAACATGAAATTATCACACATACTTGGTGACTAAAACACCATCAACAAAAAACTCTTTTTCATTTACATGATAACAGCTTATTTCAAGCATAAATTTTAATTTTCATTATGTAAGAAAAAAAAGAAAAAAGAAAGGAAAAGAAGAAAAACACTTACATTTATAGTTTGGAATGTTTAAAATGATTCAATATTTTAATGAAACGGATGAACAATGATTAATGATAATGAAAATATGAATTAATATCTTAGATTTTTAGAGAGAAAAAAACATGAAATTTACATTTGTATAGCATAATATAAGACAAACTCTATTTATTTTGGATGAGGGTAAAAAAAAGGAAGAAAAAATAAAGGACTGGAAACATTCCATAAATACACAGAAGAATTACATATAGGTAAACATATTGTCAAGGTATATATATATTCACTGTATATGTTTATTGGTTATTTATGGAATGTATAAACATATTGAGACTAAACCATATGTGCATAGTTTTAACATGCCTATTTTTAGGTCAACAGTTAAAAATAACAATTATTTGATATCTTTTTTAAAAATTTAGTTACTAACCTGGTGTTAATATTTATTCAATGATTAGTGTCAACAATATAGAATAATAAATAAACAAATAAAATAAAAAAAACATTACCGTTTTATTTGGTTATAAGTTGAACAATGTTAGTTTGAGAAAAAGAAGTACAAATAAGTAGTAGATATACGAATATTCGTCAAGATTAGAACGAATAGTTTGACAGATAATTCTTTGATGATTTTGGTTTTGATTATTACCCTGAAGAAGCCCAGACAAGTTAGCTGAACGAAACGTTGGAATTATTTAAAATTTCAATCGCTGAGATTATTTCAAATATAATTTATAATAAGTAGTAAATAGTTTATTAAATCAATTTAAAAATATGAAGAGTAAAAGAATTACAATAATGTAGTAGTAATGAAAATTAAAAAAGGTTAAGCATTAAGAAATTTCAATCGCTGAGATTGTTTCAAATATAATTTACATATATAATGATTAAGAAAATCGTTTGAAAAAACGCAAAATCAAAGAGTATAAATGACGAAATAATAGAGATTAGGAAATGCATCGAGTTAAAGAATGAATGAATATACGTCAATGTGACCGATTTCAAAACATTTTGCTTAAAGTAACCAACTACAGATCGAGAATGTCGTAAATAATAGTGAGGTTAGACGCAGGGTATTAAGGAATGATGGTAAATAAGTTGATGAGGTTACGAATCATCATTGACTGAGATGGTTGGGCCACGTGTTGCGTATGCCTGCACACCGATTACCACGGCGCGCAATGCTAACCGGTGTTAGTGATGGTTAGAAGAAAGTTAGGGGCGGCCAAACCAATACGTAGCATCAGTCCACAAAGTCACTAATTTCTGGTCTGAGCGATGTTGGTAGATGCAGACTACTTGGTTAAGGTCCGAGTGACTATCGTAACCAATGGTTGGAGACTCTTGGTGACATGGCTCAGAACCTATCACAGTGGCGTAGGTGTATACACTATTTGTCTTCCTTTAAACTAAGAGATTAAAATCGCTTCATATCTTTCTTTTTACGAACTTATTCTTTCTTCCTGTACCATATTCTTATATGCAATCTTTCTTTTATATATTACTACCACTGAAATAACTACTTCTATGAATTCGGTGTTCATCTTGTTGTGCTAATGCGGTGTGGCAACTTGAACCGATGTATATATGTGCCTGGTCCTACGTTGTAGCTGACTGACTGAAGGATGCTAACTAAGTGGTCTATCAGTTAATAATTTCATGGACAGATACTAAGTCTTTGCTTGGTAGTTATTAGTTTTTGTCTAACTTACTTCTGTCTTACTCAGCATCGAATTTTGAGGTAGACAGTAAGTAAACACACCCACTACAAGTTCCAATCATCTAAGTTAATAAAGATTCACAACTTCTATAAGTGAATCGTTATTTTCATCTAGTTCTAATAAAACAAACGTGTGCGTCGCGAAAACATTATCCAGAAGGTATGAAACTCACTACAAAACTCTCGTTGTATGGAATTTTGAAGGAATCTATTTACTACAAATCTTACGTAAAAAATGGATACTATTAAACTCCAACAGAGTTTGCTCAGTCAGTCAAATTACCATAGTAATACCGACTCCAGAAACCAAAAGATTATTCTACGATATGCGAAGATATCAGAAATCATGACAAGAATTTCACAAACGTTTAGAATCAAAATACTAACATAATCACCTCATTCTGTTGTACTAGAATTAAGGGATATAACGGTGAACAAGGGTAAATAGATTATCATCTGCAAAATGAATCCCACACCCCTAAATGAACGAAGTATTATATCGGAAAATGCAAACAGTCCCATTGCCTATCCGTACACTTACAATAGCAATGAAATAACGTGTTATCGCTTAAATTAATGAACACAGATGACTATAGGTATGGATTTGATTGGAAAAATGTTTAAATCCTAGGTCGAGTGGGTTCTAAGAAAGCTGGGTAATTTCTAGAATCATGCTATTCAGCAATCAACAGATATATCCAGTTTATCAACCCAAACCAGAAAGGTTAATCAATCAACCATATAGTTTTTGGTCAACTGAACAAGAAAGTCAACAAGAATAAAACAGCAAATGAAATTAACGAAATATTCGGGGACAGCCAATCACAGACAAGAACATCAGAACGGAGTGATTTGGTATTTGTAGGACAATTTCAAAAAGAAACTCGCTTCAAACTGAAGGAAATGCTGAAGATTTTGTAGAGAACAATACTGTGAGCCATCCAGTTTAAAATATGCAACACCACCGACAATATATTTATTTTCTCATAACTAGTGCTAAGAGATCAATAATGACTTTTAAATGTAACCGATCTCGTTGAGTTGTGGAGTCATTGATTTAGTAATTAAACTTTCACGAGTTCAAACTGCATTCTACATAAATAAATTCAAGTAATCAAAGTATGTTAATAGAACACGAACCAACTGATACCACCTAAGTTACAGTTGAAAAGTGTGTATGTTCCTTTTCGCAAAGTGAACAATTCATAATTTTGAGTTTTCTGATTTTCATTTTCATGTTTTACCAAAATGAAGATCAGATTAATTTCTAAAACTATAGAAATACAGAAAGCCAACATGGAGTGTACATTATACCACTTTTCACATTTGTCTGCCTCTGAATAGGAAGAGGAATATAATCCATCCTCTACTCTTGAGAGCCAGACGAATATTCACAAAATATACAATTGATAGTGGATTGAATAAAATCCGACAAACACTTTTGAAAAATCGTTTGCTTCCCAGATTTATCGATACTAACCTGAAACCGAAACGTTAAGCCGACTGGCTTCGATAACTTTATTTAATGGTGTAACACTTCTATTTTCTTATAGACTATTACATCCCATACAAAGTACCTATAAATTCGATTGTATAGCTCAATATGATATCGTTGTAAAGAAAATTCTTTTCATTGTAACATTTTTTATTCGATCAATAAGCTTTTTTCAAATTGTTTTCGACATCATTTTTTGATAACTTGACATTTTACGTTGATTATTCAGTTACTCAATTCATTACTTACATTTCAGTATAGCGTTGTGGAGATTATTGATTTTGATTGAGATCACAAACCGATTATAAATTATAAACATTTTGGAACGAACCCTTACATGAATATTACCATTACTACTATTATTATATGATAAAAGTTTTTTTTTCGAGAAATCGAAAAAAGTAGGCTAGTGAAAACTGAGAAATGAAATCGATAAAAAAATCTCACTTACTATTTAGTTTTATATCCAGCAAGTATACATATGTTTGCTAATACAATCATAGCAATTTCTTGAAAATATGGATCACCATAACCAGTGGGTATTATTTTTATTAAGCAGTTAAGAAATTCTTGACTTTTAGCAAGTTGATACCAATAAACTGGAATTTTATAGAAAAAAATATAACAATAATATGATTGTTACTAATGGATGTTGACAAGATTGTGGAATTTAAATTTTCCACGTTATGGACTGATTTTGTTTAGACAACCATTGAAGATCACGAAGTACTAGACAGGTGTTTTGTTTTATTATGAAGCTTTTCAAGAATGTACATCCACAACCCCATTTGGGGTCGAACCCAGGACCTACAGACCTCACAGTGAGAGGTTAAACTTGAGGTAGAGTTAGATTCCAATTGTTTCTATTATAATTTCGATTGTATGCTTGATCTTGGGTGAGCATTTATGAGGAATTTCATTCTAAGATAAGACAGGTATCTAGTGCATCTTGGATCTCAATGGTTGACTATCGCAAATCAGTCTGTGATAGACGACTTTAGAAGTAATGCAATGGTTTGGTTTTATTTAGAAATGATTAGTTTGAAAGTTCGTTTCTATTACTTGGAAAATAATTTAGAATTTAAGAGATATCGGACAATAATATAATATGTCTTTAACAAGTTTATAAACCCGCCACACCCATTTCAGTCTGGGCAACTGAGTAGAATCATTAAACATCACACTTAGGGTATGGCCTATATTCAAATATCTGCTGTGTGAATTAAATTAAACTTAATCCGAAAAAGCAAATGAACATCAGATGATAAAACTAGGATTACAGAAGCAAAGAACGAACCCAATCAACAAATTGTTCTTTTATTCTTTACTTTCCCGAGCAAGGGGATAAAAACATGATTTATTCAAGAGACGACATAATTAAAATTGGAAATCAATTTTAGATTGTTATATTTTTCTTAGTGACTTCATATTTACAGTTGGTACAAAGAAGCACCAAATACGTACGCGCCATTCGATTTGTGTAATGGCTAGAATATTGGCCGGCTGCCCAAACCGAGACAGGTGATTTTCTTAGGGGACCACTACCCGAGCCTTTGACCCAGAGGTCTAAACCACAAGGCAGTGAAGAGACGTAAAGAGATGCAGTTCCATGGTAATTGATTAATTTGTTTTCTCAGAATTGATTAGTTTAATTGTAAGGCTTTTATTGTCTATATGAACAACATCATTAGCTCTCGTTTCACATAAGTAAACTACTGAATTACCTTAATCTAGTTAACACTGACGATTTTGTTTTATGAATAGTTGTCTTCGAAGGTTTTACTAGTGTCATTTATCTTTTTATGTTTGTTGACTCGCTTGTTTGATTAATGGTTTACATTTTCCGTATGGTTTGGTAAGTAACAAATGATTCATATCTATTGGTAAGTATGTGTTTTTTATCACATATCTCTTCTAATTGTAAAAGTGCTTACCAAGTTCAAATTGATAACCTTTTCATATATATATATATATATATATATATATATATATATATATATATATATATATATATATATATATATATATATATATATATATATATATAAATACTCTTCCGTTTAGTCGGATAGTATGCAAACGATTATCTACTGTAATCCAGTCTAAGAGAGTTCTGTTCTAAGACTCAGTGCTATACCTACACCAGCGAGGCAACAGGAAGCAGAATCAATGCTTCCGGATGCAAGAAGCGTGAATCAAGATGGTTCTTTATCTTGATATGGTGAGGTCAAATTAATGACGTTACTCGGATCTTGTATGCACGTTTCGGAGACACAACACACACCAATGACGCGAGATTCTAAAGTCCTAGTTAAGGAAGTCTGTCGTCCTACTTGGAAGTGTTCGGATTTTTAAAGCTCCTACATGTAGTTCAAAGCGTGGTTTCAGGAGACCAGGAATATAGTTCCGCGTACTCGAATCGTTTGCATTAGCGGCGCGAGGTTTTACCATGCCAGACAGGTCGATTGGAGAACGGTAAAACTAAAAGCAGCAAACCCAAGGTCTGAGGGTGAAGTCGTACTGCTGACTGTACAGAGGTGTGACGGCATTAGGGTGTTTCCCTCAGACGACCAGCATAACAGCGATGCTGCCTTCCCACAGGGGGGCGTAGTGTTAGAAATGGTCGACCCTAAAAGTGCACACCTCGCCTTATCCCGTGGATATCCGTCTCTGGCGGTAAGGTCTCAAGAAATACGAAGCTAACACAAAAATTACTCACAAAATGGTCGTGTGTGACCGACCTCAAACGGTTGTTCCTTGGGCATTGCGGTCACACTCTCGGGTCTCTAAGACCACCTCTAAAACAATTTCCTATTCAGGTCACTCTAGATAACCCTTCCACAGTGTGGGCGACCGTGAAGTGACAACCGGCCTCATACTTCCAAAAACACTCAAGACTACTAGGAAGGATTTGATCGTGACCAACTTGGTCTCATGTGCTGTTACAAGCATGAAGGATGATGTCAATTCCCGGCAACCCATATCGTAGAAGAGTATTTCTTGAGAAACTTGAAAATGAACTTGGATTATTGTTGATCTCAACGACCTGCAAGAGTGACCGCAGAGCCCAAAGGACAACTGCTTGAGGCCGGACGCACACGGCCTTTTTGTGGGAAGTTTTCGTGTTAGCTTCGTATTTCTTGAGACCTTACCGCCAGAGACGGATATCCACGGGATAAGGCGAGGTGTGCACTTTTAGGGTCGACCATTTCTAACACTACGCCCCCCTGTGGGAAGGCAGCATCGCTGTTATGCTGGTCGTCTGAGGGAAACACCCTAATGCCGTCACACCTCTGTACAGTCAGCAGTACGACTTCACCCTCAGACCTTGGGTTTGCTGCTTTTAGTTTTACCGTTCTCCAATCGACCTGCCTGGCATGGTAAAACCTACAGGAATATTTATTCCAGCCATTATAGCTCGGTTAGGTCATTACGATAAGCAAACCCAACCACCATATGAAGGTAGCAACTATGGTTAGACAGTAGTAATTCAAACTATAGAATAGCATGATAAACTTTTTGGCAACTATTCACAGCAAAACAATCACTTCTAAATGAAACATTTAATTACATCTTGTTAGTGATAAACAATGAACTTTCAGACATAAAGAGTAAACTTAATTTCTATTTCAAAACAAAATAAGGATCTTTTTTTATCACTTTTACCTCTATATTTGATACCAGAAATTAATTGATATTTACTTTGATCAGTTATTAATAAACATTGATTGATACATTTTAAAGTATCAGTGTTTATTATAACACGTTTACTACAATGATCATAATTTTTATTCATATCATTTTCGTGATCCAATGAATATGTAATTGAATCAAAATTATAAAATTGTGAATATGATATGAATGAATTAAATGATAAACCTTCTATGAAATTGTTATTCTCTTGATAGATTTTATTGTTTAATACATTTTTTAATTTGATTCTGTAAATATATTCAGAGAATGAAAGACGATCATAGAAATTAGGCATTATTGTTCAAGAAAATATCGATCAAATATAAGATCATATATGTTATCTGAAAATATAAAAAAAGATTTCTATTATAAATTGATATTAATTAGGGAAATATTGCAAAATATACATTTGTATCAGCTTCGTGGCTTCCGAAGGAACTCGTCTTTCACCATGAGTTGTCATAACTCTTCTAAATAAAGACCTTCTGACTCCCAGGACAGAGTTTAAATGGTTTGAATAATTTTTTCTGGTTACTGTCTTTTAGTGAGTTATTTTTCTACGGGATGGGTTCGCTAACCCCATGACCTAAAAGTTTTATTGTATGGGGGGAAACCTGGAGAAATACGAAAGCCATCATCCAGGAGATACAAGTGTTTATTAACAGCTGTCTATGCTAAATACTTGGGATCCGTTGGCCAGACACTATCAGCAACAACCTACTATGAAAGAGAACAAACCTGATCCCAGAGGAGGAAGAAATCAGGAAGTGGATAGGACACACATTGAGTAAAGCACCGAACTGTGTTAGAAGGCAGGCCCTCACATGGAATCCTCAAAGCCAAAGGAAAAGAGGAAGATCGAACAAATTACATCGAGAAATGGAGACAGACATGAGAAAAATGACCAAAAATTGGATAGAACTAATAAGGAAGGCCCAGGGTAGAGTGGGTTGGAGAATGCTGGTCGGCGGCCTATGGTCGATTGGGAGTAACAGGCTTAAGTAAGTACCTTCTTATTCAAGATATGATAAACCTTATAAGCTAAAAATATCGGATAGAAAGGAAGAAAATTTGTATTGAACCTAATCTTGATGATGAATAAATGATTAGATATCGGTGTTCGTTATAATTTACTTTTAAGTAAGGTTTCTGAGAAATTTGTATAATTTGGTGATTATATACACAAATTAATAATTTACCTGGTAAAACATTTAAAAGTAGGTGAGCTGGTTACATGTTTCGTTTTCGTTAAATTGGAATAATATTTAAAGTAAATGAATGTGAGTGTAATCCAATTTTAATTACAATAGTCAATTCTTCTTGGAAAGATTTAACTGAAATCCACATTCTATTAGTTAAACTAGTGATAGTTGGATGCGAGGTCAAAACATTCATAAATAAAGTTTACATATTACAAAAAAACCCACAATTAATTGTAATCACTAACTACAAGTTAGCAACAACTGATATGGAAAATAAATAAATCCAGTTGAACGATAGTCTAACGTATGAAGAAACAGGTTGTTGATCCAAACATCAATAAGAATGATATAATTATAAAAATATTTTAGTAGTATAAAGTAAATTTCCAAAAACAAATTATGTTGATTTGTATATTTCAATGGTCTAGTGGTTAAGCGCCCGCACGCGAGACTGATAGGTTCTGGGTTCGGATCTCGCGGGGAGCGGTATCGTAGATGCGCACTGCTAAGGAGTCCCATACCAGGACGAAACGGCCGTCCAGTGCTTCCAGATTTTCCATGGTAGTCTAGATTCAATCGACTCATGATTTCAACTGGTGATATTTCAATAATAGTTTTATTATTTAGCATTCCAAGCAAAAGAAAGAAAATAATAGTAAATCAATTTATTTCAAGCAAAAGATTAATTCGAGAGCTAAATCAAATTAAGATAAATAAATTACTTAAAAACATAAGAGAATCATCTAAATAATATATTCACCTTTTCGTAACAAGTTTGGTAAAGCAATCTGAATGGTGATGATGTAAACCATAAACTTTAAAAGCCGATAAAGATCAACAACTGGTTAAATAGAATTCAAATATCATTTCTGTTATCAAACAGTAAAGTCATATTGTTGATAGAGTTTCCGAGAAGAAAGAGTGAAGCATCATCACAAGATTCGTTTATTTTATAACGCTATATGTGATTTTAAAAAATAGTACCACTTTAATGCACAGATCAAAGAGATAAATCAAATCTATAAGGAAACTTTAGTTGACAAAGCAACAAAGTCTTGGGTTGGATTATTATCATGTCAGCTGACGATAAGAACAGATTCATATATTTATTTATTCCAGTAAAATATGTTAATAAATACCACCAAATAGATAATACCTTATTAATTGGACGAATTGATTGAATGAATACGATTAAACATATAAAATTAAGATAAACGATTTATCATCAAATCTACTTAGTTACAGAACATTATTGACACTAAATAATTGGACAGGCAGAAAAACAACAGTAAACATTTGACTGTGTTTTAGAAAATCTTTTTGGTTGTGCTCTCTTCATTTTCTTAACAAATAGTAGTTTCAACGTGTAAAAAAGAACTCATTAACCCTTTTCCACTGACTGTTTATCTTCTGATTTGTTGTGTTCAAATGTCAGAGTAATTGCCACATAAACAGAATTGATTTATTACAATTTCGGTTCAAGTTTTTTTGTGTGACTTGACTTTTTGCCTTTTGATCACTACAGAGATTATTGTTAAAGTGTTGTACGTTAATCATCCGACCTATTTGGTTCGCATAAATCCCGTTTCGTGTAAAGATTTTTTAATGATTCGTATTCGGAATTACTGTAAGATATCTCAAAATACAAAACCAGGTGAAAAATCTACAATAATGAATTCATTAATTCAGAGCAACTGTATTCCAACTGCGATTGTTAGTTAACTAGTTTATCTTCTTTTTGATTTAAAGAAAACGAGCTATATAAGATCATAAACTATGATAAAACAACTATCCTATGTTCCCATGAAAACTTGATACATCATTTAGTTTGTATACAAAAATAAATACACTTCTTACAAGATTGTAAACATTACAAAGATTTCAAATCCCTATACAACATAAAATGTACGTTAAACAAACATAAGTGGCTATGCATATATATATATATATATATATATATATATATATATATATATATATATATATATATATATATATATATATATATATATTCATAAATGAATAAACAATATCACAGCACATAACTTAAAATAATAAATAAAACTAACTTTACATAATACACTATAAAATAAAATTGGAAAGTTCTTTTAATTACAACCTAACGTAGTAAAGTCTGATGGTGGTTAGCAACGGAATCCAGCATACATTTTTCATCCTTATTCGAATTTATCCATTGAATTTACGGACATCCTAATATTGAGGTGAATACTGACAGTCGAAGTAAGTACCTTTCTCTACAAATGCTAATGTGTTATCAAGCGAACTATTGAATCGATCAAGCCAACAGGTTGGATAATAGCTATGAATTTATTTAGCGACGGTTCGTATTTTCTCATTGTTGATATTAAGGGCTTCAATTAATTCGTCAGCATCATCACTAGGATGTAGGTATATCCATCCGGTGAGTCATAGATGGGATGAAATGTGAGTTCTAGACTCCACTGTTGATCGACGTCCAAGTTTATTAAGAACTTATGATTAATTGACACTACGGGGGTAATTTGATCATGGTCCATGTATATCAAAAACACTGATTAAATCTATCCATTAACATCAACAACGAAAAATAGAGAGACCAACAGATAATTTTTTATTACACGTAGAAAATTGCAGAGAAGTGAATAGAAGATTCAGTATATTCAAAACATCAAGTATTTATGATTCTGTTAGGAGTCCAACCCCTATACACATTTAATATTACCCAGACCATTAGATTACAATAATATCTAAGGCTTTGAAAAGCAACCCACAGTAAGCATTGGATCTAGGTTTCTCGTGTTATCTTCAAGGTTGAAATCGCTAAGTGATTTCAGCCAGGAATACAAATACTAACCGAAGTCAGAAATGGTGAGTATCAAATCCTAGTTTATAGGCTGAATGGTGTTCTACTCGCTAAATAATACAAATATCATGTGAGATATTGGTAGGTGTGAGTTGGCATTTAATCCCAAAATGCCATAGTATGTTCGAGGGTGTGGAGAGGACACTCGCCCTCTACAAATGCTCTCATATGGATACGCATATAAAGCCACCGCCAAGAAGGTCCTACTCACGCCCTTCTCAAACATAGGTCTTTTTTACGAAACTAAGACAAGAAGCGAATGTTCAGTGCTTGTATCGGGTTGGTGGGTACGGAACGATCACCAAGGGGAGTTGAAAAACCCTAATCCGAAACCAATGCTCTACATGCGCTACAAGGTCCTGAGGAACTAAGTGGAATATGAACCTACTCTTGGTTACCACTTCCTTCCATGAGATCGCATCGCCTAATGTTGCTTCAGCGCCTTGTGGAGTTAGGCTTTAGATCAAAGACTTGCGGAGGAGACTCCCAAGAACACCACCTGATTCGGTTTGGCACCTGGAGAGAATCCCAGCCCAAACACAAATTAAATGATGACAGCATTGTGTGATACATATATTTTGGAGCTCCTTCGTATCAGTGCTTCAACAAATAATAAATAAATAGATATGAAGCAATTATTCAGTGCTTCATAGTTAGCTATCATCAATAGATAGACAAGAAAAAAAAACAATTATTAATGAGCCAATATTATAAGATCAGATGGTTTTTCACACAACCGTTTATTTATGCACAAATTATAATGACTATTAGGAAGAATAATTAGCAACAATGAATTATAACTTTAATTTTGAAATTTAAACAAGGTGTCAGTCAGTCGATTATCACTACATTTTTTAATATATAATTTGACGAGTTATACAATTAATATAATTAACAGTTTACAGGAAAAACACTATTCAGTAATAATTATCACAAGTAATAATAAATGAGTTAATACAGCAACGAGATAAATTTAGAAGAAAACATTTGGGAAGAAAAGAGAATCTAATGTGTTTTTTTCTTCTTTATCAATTGTACATAGTGTGATTTAAAATGGTGAAGAATGTGAAGTTTTTGAGAGTTTTGTTTTCTGAGCTGGATGGTTTGGTCGTGGAACTTTCATTGTTCTTCTGAATGACATCATCAGCACAAACTTTAGATAGAAGTGAAGCGTTCAAATTACTCCATATGTGGTTCACAGCTCGCTCTAAAGTTTACCTAAAGTTTGTGCTGATGATGTCATTCAGAAGAATGATGAATGCTCCACGACCAAACCATCCAGCTCAGAGAACATAACTCCACCGAAAGCATCCACCTGAGCTACATCTGAATGTGAAGTTTGACCTACACAATTAACTAACACTAACATCTCATTAGCTTTGAATAAAATACTATATTCAAAGATCAGAAATGAATAAGAATTCCTTTTCCTTGTTTTAAACTTCTTGGTATAGCAAATCTACAACTTCACTTAGTATTATTCTTAAGACTGGAAGTGATCAAGTCAAATACTTAATCATATGACCGATAAGTAAGAATTCACTGATTTAGATTTCGTAATTTCAAGAAAATTCTTAATTTGGCGTAAATATTAAAAGATGTAATTAGTAGCCATCTATCAATCTATATGCTTTAAATGACTGATTCCACTGAGCAAATTTACACTGTGTTAAAATTCCAAGATATCTCTCTTGGAACTAATCATTAATAAGTATTGAAATATTATTTAACGAATTATGAACTTCTCGGTCTTCAATTATGCAAATACGAATTCGAAATGGCAGTAAAAGATTTATGAAGATTGTTAAGTTTCATGACAAAATGATTTTAATTAGAAAACCTCTGAAAATCAGGAATCACTAGACAATTACTTTATCTTTGTATAGGATCCTTCAGAAGAGTGAATTCAAGACTCCATCGGACCTTCAAGTGTCCTAATAAGCTTTTGAAATTTAGACCGATGATCCGGTATCCAGCGTTATGCATACCTAATTAACTGATTGGAGTTAGACACATAAACCGTTGGATGCCGGCTCAATGGTCTAAAGGTTACACGTTCACCGCGAAACCTAAAGGTTCTGGGCTCGTGATATGAAATACAGAATTTGGATTGCAAAGACAGTAAAACTAATTCAGTATTGCTATATATTTATATTTTTTCTAAAGTAATGAAAGACAGTGAATGAAAACAAAAAAACTGTACACTCTGAAACTAATCTAAAAAAGAAATAAAATTATAATTTTATTTATTCAATAAAAAGAATACAAAGTATTTACCAGTATTTTAGTTAAATAGATAAAGAGCAGATATGGTAGAATTATCAATTAAACAAGTGCTTTTCTTGTCAACAATGTACATATTACGCAAGTGTTAATGGTAACAAGACAACAATTACTAATGTGTTAACACTATAATGAGTCATGAATATATAAATGCCGAATAGAGTAAATGTGTGTGATTATGAGACATTTTTCTTTATTGAATTAATTTATACACCTACACAAATGTAATGGCCAAATGATAATGCTATTCAAATAATGTTCATTTGTGAAGGCTTATTTTTATCTCGTTACTGAAATTCCGAGTTGAATTTCGATCAGTTTCTGTTATTTTAAATACCAAAGGTGGAATTTTTGTAATCAATACGAGTAGACAATATAACTAGGTTAAAGACTAAGTGATAAAATGTACTAAGTAATTCAGTGGATAATGCGTTTGCGTTTGGAACGAAATACAGTAGGTCTAAATCTTAGTGTGATGATCAATATCGGACTGTAGATACATTCAGCTGATGAGTCCGAAATACGATCAAACTCATATTCTGGATCTCACTGTTAGCTTCAATCCAGATATCTGATTCAATAAATGGCTGTTAATTCATCAAAAAAATACTATGACTACAAGAAATTACAAGAATAGAATCATTTGAAGAGATAGGAAAAGCTATCGAACAAAAGCCAAATGCTCTTTTTTCTGTTATTGTAAGAACTGGAGGAAATATGAATGAAATATTATAGTCATACAATGGTGGCATAAACTAAGCGTACTAATTTCATCTGGTAGCATCAACGTCTTTATGTTTTTAGAGCAGAAATCGGTTAGACGTATTATTACAATCGCCTAAAACGAATCAACATTTGAATTTAAAATGATGCTGATAATTAAAGCAAAATCTAGATTACAGTAACATTTGAATCATAATCAAATAATCTCTGTATTTACCAAAGCACACTTGACAGCTAAAGTGTAATCAAAACTTGGCTGTTACATGATTTACTAAGTGAATTATATAGAGATCAACTAAACATTTTAGAACATAGAACTATCGTCTAAATGACAAAATGGTCAACCAAGTTAAAAGTTATTATGACCGACTGATCAAATAAAAACATAACTAATTTGTAGGAAAAGCCAATGTCATCAAACAACCAAAAAGGTTGTCACACTACTTGCCAAATATTAGTCAATTAAGTAGTATTTTCTGTAACACAAATCTTTTCTCTTAAACGGGATAAGAATTGGGAAAATATGTTGCTCGCTGTACTTCTCAGTTTAATTTATAATGAAATCAAATAATTATGATGTCTAATAAACAGACTAATTATTAAGCAAGGCAAATAATATTCAACTGTGAGTATAGGGTTGTGTAAATTGCTGCATTTCATTGAAATGATAAACCGATATACGTCAAAAAGCATTGAAAACCCGGAAACACTGGACGAAAGTTTCTTCCCTAACCCGGTTGATGAGTCGTAGATGTACACGGCTGAGGATTTTCGTACTAAAACGACACAACCGTCTACCACTTCCAGGTTTTTAATGGTTGTCTAACTTATATCAGTTCGTGATTTCAATAAAATGATATTTGAACCAACTAAAAAATGACCAATCATATGTTAATTAGAGACTTAGACCTTGAAAACGAAAATATACCATTTCCACACACCCACGGTTAATGATATTATATCATACAAACCTATAAAAACGTACTAATTATGATCACTGATTAATTTAAATAAACGAGTAACAAAAGCGTACAAAAAGAAACGGTTTTTTTCTATATAATTGAGTACGATAACAACAGTTCAGAGGAAATTCCACCTGAAAACATTATGAAAAGTGATACATAAGATTGACACTTAATTCACCACTGTAACAAGAAAAAAATATATCATTATTATTGTCAGAAAATTGACACATTTCTGAAATTCATTATCCTTTTTCTATTAACTAAAACATAACATAAGTGTCTATATTAACAAATTATGAGCCAGACAATGAGTCAATTATTATTTATTGCATACATTAGTGGTTTAATTATGCTTATCCAATCAGTTCCATATCAAAGATCATCATCATCGTCATTTAGAAGAATAGATTCACTGGAAAACTTCAAGAAATTATCAATTACACAAGATAATACAATTGAAACAATTATGAAAAATATTCGACCAATAATGAAATGGAATCGACAATCAGGTAAATTAAATAATTTATTCATTGTTAAAAAGTCAATAAATTATGCTTTAAATAATTATACTATTAAACCAACATTTTATCAATATGTTAAATCATGCTGTAATCGAGAAGTAATGCGACCAATGGGTGGTGGACACATGACTGGACCATGTTGTAAACAATTAATTAAATTTAATCATTTTATTTGGTTATCATTTCCATGGTTTAAAAAAACATTAACAAAATTAAGTACTGATTAGTAAGAATACTAAAAGTAGTATAAAGTTTTCCAATGGTTACTACTTATTGTTTCATAAAATATATATTAACATCATTTAATTTATAAAAATTGTGAGTTTTTTTCTTAACAAGAAAAAATAACATTCAATATTGTCAGTATTACAAAAATTGAATATTTTAGCATAATAAAACAGTGTTGATTGAACAAATGTTTATCTGTACACTTGAATGTTATCTTGCATTTATTGAAAAATATTCTTTTACACACTCTATCTGTTGAAGCACGTACAAAGGAACAGAGAGAGAGAGAGGAAGGAAGAGAGAATGATCGAAATTCGAAACCAAAAACAATAATTCCATTTACAATATGTTTGTTTATTTTACTCAGTTTCTTAAATCTGAATAAATTTTTTTTCGACATTTTACTTTTCAATTGTCCTATTTTTTCTTTCTTGTTTACGGTTAAATTACACTGTGAATAATATTAACAATAGACAATTATTAAATAAATACAAAATGGAATTCAAAAACAAAAGGTTTTATTCATTTTTTTAAAATATTTTCTCGTTTTTATTTTGAACGTCATCCTCGTTTGCGTATATATACTACTAAACATTACTATTTGAGTAGCAAACTCAGTGACTTTAGGAACAAGATAAAATTGATAAAATGTGAATTCATTAGTTGGTTCCTTTTTCGTATTTTTAAACCTAGAATTATATTCATTTTAAGCGATATTATTACATATGAGAAGCATATATATATACTTACGTCTGTTACTCCTCGCGAAGGAGCATAGGCCGCTTACCAGCATTCTCCATCCAACCCTGTCCTGCGCAATCCTTTCAAGCACTTTCCACTTGTTATTCATTCTTTTCATATCTGCTTCTATTTCCCGACGTAATGTGTTCTTTGGCCTTCCTCTTTTCCGCTACCCTTCAGAATTCCAAGTTAGGGCTTGCCTCGTAATGCAGTTTGATGATTTCCTCAATGTATGTCCTATCCACAAACTCCATCGTGTTTTCTTATTTCCTCTCCAACCAAAAGCTAGTTTGTTCTCTCCCACAGTAGGCTGTTGCTGATGGTATCCGACCAATGGATGTTGAGTATCTTGCTTAGACAACTATTGATAAATACTTGTACCTTCTTGATGGTGGTTGTTGTAGTTCGCCACGTTTCAGCTCCGTACAGTGGAATTGCTTTGACGTTCGTATTGAAGATTGTGACTTTGATATTAGTTGAAAGTTGTTTTTAGTTCCATATGTTCTTTAATTGAAGGAATGAGGCACTTGCTTTTCCAATCCTCGTTTTTACGTCTGCATCTGAACCTCCTTGTTCATCGATGATGCTTCTCAGGTATGTGAAGGATTCTACATCTTCCAAAGTTTCGCCATCAAGAATGATTGGATTGCTGTTCTCCGTGTTGTATTTACAACTTATTCTGTAGTCTGTGGTCTTTTATCATATTTATTTACTAATAAATACCTGAAATTTAAAATATATATGGAGAGAGACCTTAGTTTACCAATGTTTTCTTTTATTTTTACTTTTACACATTGTTTCCAACCTTCTCCAGGAGACTGTTTTATTTTGGTAACATTTAATTGTCAATGCATTTTCTTTACTTGTATATAAATAAAATAAAAAACAGTAGTTCCATTTTGCACACCAGTTTTTAAAAACAAAGTAGGTAACGCTCATCAGTTGGATATATATATATATATATATATATATATATATATATATATATATATGCTGAATGAAGGTAAACATTATGTTCGTATTAGACTAAATTACCATAAATAACTTCAACTAGTCGTGTTAAAAATTAATGAAATATTTTGACAAGTGAAGTAAACAGTTTAACTTTTTTAAAAAAACACAACAGCGGTGTAACATATTGAAATTAGAGAGTAGTAGTATCGTTATGTGCCTTTCATATAACCAAATGATTATTAATGTAAAAGTTTTGTTTCTAATGCCACAAATTTTTATTTTTTTTTAAGACCCGATTAAAAAAAACAACAAAGAACAGAACATATTTATCGATATTATTAAAATGATGAACAAAGTTTATCTATGATAATATAGTTGCTGTTGTATAAAAGTGGTTTTAATGTCACTATAGCTTGAAAAGACTAGGATACTGTTGTAATGTGAAACAATGTGATTAACTTGTTGAAAGAAAAAAATTTCGACAGTTATTGAAGTTTAGTGTTTACAAGTATAACAGGTATCACTAGTGAAGTACACGATGGATTGATTCATGTTGATTGTTACAATTTTACAGATTACTTACTTAATTGAACTTCAATAATATTTAATGACATATTTTTTTAAGTTATATAACCATCTTTTTAAATATTCGGAAATTATTGTCGTAGTGACTGAAATTCGGTCTTTCCATTAACATTTCGTATGTGGTAAGTGTAATATGGATGGGAGGAGTACTTTTCTCTATAAACCATCAGATAAAGACTTATTATTTCGATAGCCTAGACAATTTTACATTTCTAAGTTCAGTAGTCTAAACTCAAAATAAAACAGTAAATTAACCATGAGGTGGGAATGAAAATGAACAGTATGAGAATTATTAGTAATAGAGCGGTGATCTTCATCATCAAAATATTATTAAATGAGAAGGAATTGTACAGGCGTTTTCCAGTTACACAGTTCTAAACTGTCATAACTTTCGCAGTTTTAAGGTCACGTCTTTCATACAATTTAGACCCTTGGCATATGATAACGAAGTTACATTCTAGACTAGAAAAACTAAAAATAACTGTTGGGGTATTCAGAAAATACCCCAGAAATTATCTAATGCTATTCCTGAATGAGGAGTAGTGCCATTTCCCCATTGGTCAACATTCTTCCAACGTGTCATCTCCTTATTGGTCAATATTTATTTGTGTCATTTCCTGAAGGTTAAATCTTGTACAATGTTACTTTCTATTTATGGTACGATGTAGTCTGTTTGTTTGGTATATAAACAGTGTATGTTTGAAATATAACGATTCATATCTCCGAGGCTGAGACTTGTGTTCTGGACTCAATTGGCTGGGCTAGACAGGGAAGCAGGACCAATCAGAGCTCTAGGCTGCTCGCTCGTATCTATGCGTCACTGTTTCGATCGATAATAGGCTGCTCTCTAATAGGCGGATCACACGTTATAACAATAACATAAGGTCTATTTGATGTTTCATTGTCTCCACTGTTGAACAGAAACGGCCTACTTCTCTCTCTCTCTCTCTCTCTCTCTATATATATATATATATATATATATATATATATATATATATGCTCCAAATAGGAGTGTACAGAGGTAGAATATTATCCTCTATGGACATATTTGAATTACTAAAATATACTAAAGATGTAAGTTAAATAAAAATAATCGCATTATAACTCACGCTGGTGATACCATCAGCAACACCCACTGATAATAAGCAAGTTTCTTTACCGAAATCATTTAAAGCAAATGATTTGACAACTAAAGTAACCGACTATATGTAGAATGAAAAAACTACACGTACAGTAAATTCGTTGAAAACACTGTAAGACGGTATACATTTCTTCTAATTATCCAAATTCCAAAAAACAATTACTAAACCTAAGACACTACTCGTTAAGAAAACCAATCTACATGTTTCATTTGAGAGCTATGACTCCATAGGTATTGTGAGTTATATAACCAAAAGACACTAGTTATAGTGCTTCGAAAGTACGATAAGAATCTATCTTTCTTCTTGAGTAACAGCAATTACTATGAGGATGCATGAGAAACATTTGAACCAACGCTAAGTATGTAAACCTTCTTGAATGATCGTTGAGGAGCTAAAATCTCAAGAAATATCTATTCATGACATAATCAATTAGAAACAATGATAAACCTATTTTACAGAAATCGGACGGGCTGAAATCCTCATAGTTCAGATAAACTATAGTGAGAAAATAAAATATCAAAATTAAATGACACAGAAGTTCAAATGATGGTGTCAATTGTGGTGTAACCTTATGCATACAGAAGATATACTTTATGAAGAAAGAATGACTTTCACAAGTGATTGATTAGTGAACAATGACCATCGTTATGTTTCCCTAGTCCTTTAAGTGTTGATCCAACAGGGAGCATCAGTACTCGCAAGATTACTGGTGTATCCTGCTGACAAGTGCTCACAAGCACGAAATGTAATTCGGAAAGGATTTCCGGTTGACTAGCTCAGACCACGTAACAAACTGTGATATGGTAGAGAGAGAAAACTAGGAAGATGGGTAAAACAATATCTAAACAACTATGAACAATTCGGAACAATATACTCTCATATCGCTACTATTCATCATTCAAGGTCTACCACTCTCCACATAATATCACAAAAAATGTTGACGTATATACAAGAAATTCAGAAATCACTGTATAACGTTTTTAATCTTGAACGAAACTAATCAAAACATGTAGAATGTAAGATGTGTAGAAGTGTATTCTAGGACATCATCAAAATGAATCTAGTTAAGTTTAAAAGACAGTAAATAATACGAATAATAAATTCTTAATTAAACTACATGAAAGCAATGATTCGAGTTTCATTTTAAACATTTTCAGCATAACAAAAGATTTGATGCAAACACTGAGTTGCTGGGACATTTTACAACATCTAGGAAACCTATTGACATTATTCAGAAGATAACAAGAATAATGAAATTATGCTTCTTTTAAATAGGAAAATTTATAAAATGAGAATAGAAATGGCCAAATACAAAACACTGTGAAAATGTAGATAATAAATTTGACTGAAAACTATCCTTAAATATTAAAGTACTTCCGAAAAAACGACAAACAAAAGTAGAAACTGGATTAGCACAGCCTGTGAAGTGGCTTAGGCACCAGCCAACAATATTTGAAGAGAATTAAAAGAAAAATGAACATCGATATAAAAAAACGTTTATCTGTCCAACTCTACAATTGTAACATAGAACACTACCTCATACTCAGTGGTAAATAAAAATATAGTGAGAGAAATTT